TGACGTCGAGGAAGGACCAGAGGCTCTGCGAGTGCAGCTCCCAGCCGTGCTCGATGACGGACGCAAACTCCTGCAGCACCCAGCCCGCCGTGTAGACGGCAAAGGCGAGCTCCCACTGGCTCGAGGCGGCCTGCTGGTTCGTCATGGTCATGACGTACAGCAGGACGAGGACCATGAACTGCACCATTTCGATGAGGGCGCGGATCCGGGGCACGATGAGGCGCCGGTGGTTGAGGATGCGCGACTCCCGCGGGTCGTAGAGCTGGATCGGACGGTGCTTGTAGTGGTCGGGGAGGATGTCCATGAAGGACAGCGGCGTGTAGACGACCTTGCCCATGTGGACGGCCTCGACCAGCCGCTGGCAGGCGGCCGAGCTGATGAAGGCCTTGCTCTCGGAGAGAATGGCCAGCTCGAGCGCCGTGAGCTTCCTCTCGTGGCCGCCGCGCCGCTGGATGGGCCATTGGAGGTAGCGGCCCTCGCGCTCAACCTCGTACGGCGCGCCGTCAAAGGGGTCAAACCCCTCGACGAGGATCTGGGCGAGGAGCAAGAGGCCCTCGTTTCCGGGGTTGTCCTCGTGGAAGCGTCGAATGACACGGGTCGCCACGAGCTCGCAGAGGATGGCGCGGGCTCGGTTGACGCTTTGTGTGGCGAGTCCGGACTGCGACTTGAGGAAGAAGACGCGGTTGGCGAGGAGGCAGTACACTGGAAGGAGGGGAACACTCAGTTTTCTTTTTCCTTTGGGCGACGGGACGGACGGCTCTTACCAATGGAGATATTCTGCGTTTCGTAGAGTCGGTCGACGAGGGGCCTGACAATGAGTGCGTTGAGACTTGGCTGGCGGAAGTGGTCCAGCGTGTACGGATCATCTGCCAAGTTGTGTGAGAGGGGAGGATATCACGACAGCACCAGACAATGAGCGTACCTATACTGGCGAGAACCAGGCGTCTCACTCTTTTACAGCACACTTAGCTAATTATGACCCAACTGGGAGGGAAGAAAAAGAACTTGAAAAGAAAAAAAAAGGAGGGGTCTGTCGTACCGATGGAGTGTCACGTAAACAGACTCGGGCTCACACTCGTCGGGCTCAAGCAGGTCGACTTCAGGTTCCTCGGCGGCCCTCTCATCGCTCATCCAGTCCTCCTGTGAATCCATTCTCACAAAGTCCGCGCAAAAGTGAAGCTGATGAAACCATCTCAGTGCACAGAGCCAAGCCTCGCGCGCTCGCTCAGCTATATACGTCAAAAGTCGACGATGTTGAGGTGGTGAAGAGGGTGGCCGGAGGGCAGGTATTTAAGAGGGGCCCGGGTTGACAGTCGCATGCCGCACGTCGCCGTCGGCGAGGCCATGTACGATGATGCCTCGACGTCATGTATAGTGCGGTGGGTTCGCTTCGTTTGTCTGCCGTGCTCGCACGTAGTGGCGATTTTCTGACCTACGTTTTCCTCGTCATCTTGTTCGTTTTGGCGGATGCTGAATGCAAGGTGGGCCAAGCGAGTCGGACGAGAAGCAACCTGCACCTTGTGTCCGATGGATGGATGGGTGTATCCTCGCCGTCGACCAACTTTTGACGAGGCCGAATTCCAGAGTTTGACCCGGCTCCGTGACATGCGTTGCGCATTGATCATCTGATGCGATGGACTGGGCCGTCGGGCGGCTGCGAAACCAATAATTGCCGTGAACCAATACACTGGGCCGATATCTCGGGTTGCACCAACACTCCCTGTCCTGGGAAACCATGTTGCGTCCCTGCAATTTGAACGATTTGATTATGTCAACAATGTAGCATGAAGAAAGGAGTCGTCATTTTCGCTCATGCTCACATAATCGGCTGACGCCTGCGGTGGCCAAGTACACTGGTCGATTGAGTTGCCGCATCCTATCGCTTGCTTGCTCTGAAAATATAAAATATGCCAATTTAAAAAGAAAAAAAGAAAGAAAAAATCACTACCCTGACAGTCCCAAGATGTTGAGTCGCAGCTACCAGCCTCGATACTCCACCATCTTCGTCAAGCTTAGCCTCGTCCTCTCACAAGGCACCAGCAACTCTTTCAGCACGGGAATCCACCACTTCTCAATCCCGTGGCCAAGCTTCATCGCAAAGGCGTACTCTGCATATTCCGGGAAGAAGCCGCTCCTCCCCCAATCCACAATGCCAGTCAGCCGTCCATTCTCAACCAAGATGTTGCGCGGTGACAAGTCGCCGTGCGTGAGGACAAATCTGTTTGCTGTGCCGGCAGCCTTTGATTTTGCGCGCGACTTCTCCAGGAACCGGCGCATTCTCCAGAATGTGAAGTCGGATCTCCTGACTCGATCCAAACACCACGCGTCAAAGGATTCTTCATCCTCGAACGGACCGATGTAGTTTGGTTCCAGCCGATCGTAGACATTGTACGTGGACTGTTTGTCAACCCGTCCAATGTACGGCTGGGTGCAGCTTCTCATGAGCGTGAACTGCTCACGTAGCTGTTCCTTGATGGATTCCCTTTCCGACTTGCTGAGTTTGTCCCATACGGTGTCCAATGACTGTCCAGGTACCCTTTCGGCCACCAAGACGCGTGCCAGCGGCCTTTTGGGAGTCATGGTCACGACGTCATAACATCCCCGGACTTTGGGCGCCAGGATGCCATGTGTTGCAGCATACTGCATCATGTCTGCTTCAGAGCGCTTGAGAAAGGGTGCATCCCCGAGCTTGAGGGCTAGTACATCGCCGTTTGACGTTGTGTGTTGGAGGACCCGCGGACCTATCCAGAAATAGAGTGCTGGCATGTTCCGGTCGACAGCATCTTCATAGGTGAGCTTGCTGATTGCGGCGACATCTTCATCTATGGACTCGGCCATGTTGTTCCGGTAATACGCCTCAGTCAGAACCAGCGTCTTCTCGAGACTCAGAATTTCGGGGGTAGTTGGGAAAGGAGAGGATATGATGTGATGCACAGCTTCGGCCTCACAAGACGACCAACACATTGGCAGGTGTCACGTGGCTCCCTCTGCCGCCGGGATTAAGCGCTGACCCCTGAACGGCCCGTCGTTGTCCAAGAGCACTGGCAAGGTGGAAAAGTACGTTCTCAGATGTCACGAATTCGAAATAATGGGAAGCAGTGCCTGGTCTTGCTTCCCCATCGCCAATGCCTATGTCACTATCGAGCCGCCGAGGATGTTTCCAAACGCAAATCGTACAATCTCTTGACCAACAACTGCCAGCATTTCTGCATCGACGTGGTTACTTACTTGCATAAAATATACCCACAGTCGGTCCCTCGTTCGGCCGTAGAGGACGTTTTGGCTCGCGCTCAAGGTGTAACCAACATTTCTTACATGCTTCGACGAACTCAACTCAACAAGAAGAGGACGAATGCAGAAAGCGATCATGGTGACCGGCCACGATTTTCTATCGACTGATGGCCCTGCCGGTTTACACTCGGCAGTATTCTGCGGCATTGATGTGGCAACAAACATGACTTGTTGTCGACGGCTGATTTCTGTGTTGTGGTTTGTGATGGATCTGTTTGTTTAGGCTGTTGCTGATTTCCTGGTGCAATCTGAATTGTTCTGTCAAGTTTTATATTAGAGAACATGCCGAGTAAGACGTATGTCATTTCGGAAAAAGAAAAAAAAAAACCCCCCAAGCATTTAAGTAGCTAGTTTACACTGATTCCTATAGAAATTTATATTCGTCAATGTCTCAAAACCCTCAAAGGGTTCCTTGAAATTGCCCCTTTCTCAGTTTCACGCATGAGAGGAAAGTTTCCAACCACAGCACTAAATGACCTTTATATTTCGCCAAAAGAACAATTTACAATAGACTGACAACATCAAAAGCCCAACCATGATATAAGTTACACAATCCTTCCGACGGACCCCCCACCCATCAACACCCACCACAAAACCACCATCGCCACTCACTTCCACTCACCAACTCCCCCCTCGCCCTCACCCTCACCCCAACCACCACCATGGCCGGAAAACAATTCAAACCAGCCCTCATCGTAGTCGACTTCCAAGAAGACTTCTGCCCGCCCGTCCGTCCCCCCCCCCGGACCCCGCCCCCGCACCAAACCGCCCTCTGACCGCTCGCAGAACGGCGCCCTCGCCGTCCCCGCCGCCCGCACCATCGCCCACGCCGTCAACACGCTCCTCGCGCTCCCGTTCCCCCTCAAAATCGCCACCCGCGACTGGCACCCCCGCACCCACGTCTCCTTTGCGAGCAACCACCCGTCCTCGGAGCCCTTCACCTCCCGCGCGACGATACGCCACCCCTCGGACCCGTCCCGCTCCTACACGACGACCCTCTGGCCCGTCCACTGCGTCCAAAACACCCCCGGGGCGCAGCTCGTCCCCGAACTCGACCTCTCGCAGGTCCACCAAGTCATCGACAAGGGGCAGGATGACCGCGTAGAAATGTACTCTGCGTTCCATGACCCCTTTCACGTGAGCGACAGCGGGCTGGCCAAGAAGTTGAAGGAGGAGCGCGTGACGCACGTGTACGTCGTCGGTTTGGCGGCCGACTTTTGCGTCAAGGCCACGGCCGAAGATGCCGTTGCCGAGGGGTACGAGACGTACATCGTGCAAGAGGCGACGAAGCCCGTGGTGCCTGATGCATGGGAGACTTGCAGGGAGGGAATTTTGGCAAAGGGGGTCAAGATGATTTCCATTCACGGGGACGACGTTGCCAGAGTAAAGGCGCTATAGGGAAAATAAAAGCAAAGTGCAAGCGCCTTGATTTGAATTCAACCAGTTGACGGCTTACAAGAGAGACTACAATGGCTGCCCAGAGAATGTCCATCACCACTCGGTATTATATATATGTATATACGTATTTCTATGTGGGTGCTTTTTTACTCTTTGAGCCTGCTTTCAGCCTGTTCCAAGAAAACGAAAAAAAAACTCCCGAGATGCGAAATATTAAACTCCTGCCAATACCATGCTGATGCCCATTTTTGCACTCTACCAGGCCTCTCTTGGAGATCTCCTCTGGTGGGGTCAATGGCGAAAATTCGCAACTATCGCTTCGCCCTCTGCTGTGCAGCAGCGCTCTTAGACTTATCCTGAGCATTTGTCATGGCTAGAGAAACAGGGGTCATGGGAGGAGGAGCAGGCGTGCCAGTTCTCGAGGGGGCGGCGCTTCTGTTGTGCTGCATGTGCGCCTTGACAAGGTGACCGGCCTGGAGTGCGCTGCAAAGGGACAATTCACCGGCCAAGACCGCAGCACCGATAATTCGTGCAAGTCGTCGAGCATTGTCTCCAGGGTTTGTTGGGTGTGGACCCCTGACACCAAGCATGTCGAGCATAGCACTCTGAGGCTCCAGGATTGTTCCGCCGCCCAGGGTGCCGACTTCGAGCGAGGGCATGGAAACGGCGATCTGGAGGGACCCATGAAGACTAGAAAGATGCACAGGTTAGAACGAAAACGCCACAAGTTTAAGAGATTGAAAACTCACTTCTTCATTGTCGTAATGCAGTTGGCACTCTCCACCACTTGAGCAGGGTCTTGGCCAGTGGCAAGGAAGATGGCAGCGACAATATTAGCAGCGTGCGCGTTGAAACCACCAATGGAACCAGCCATGGCAGATCCGATCAGGTTCTTAGCAACATTGAGCTCAACCAAAGCATCGACATCACTCTTCAAGACGGACTTGACGATATCGGCAGGAATGATGGCCTCAGCAACAATTCCCTTGCCGCGACCGTCGATCCAGTTCATGGCAGCCGGCTTCTTATCAATGCAAAAATTGCCAGACACCGTGACAATATTCATGTCCTCAAATCCACCCTCAGTAGACATGACATTAAGTGCGTGTTCAACGCCCTTAGAAATCATATTCATGCCCATGGCGTCGCCAGTCGTAGTTTTAAACCGAATATACAAGTTTGTTCCGGCCAAGGCAGTCTTCATGTGTTGTAGTCGAGCATAACCACTCGTTGAGTCAAAGGCATCTTTCATTGTCTTTTGGCCAATGTCAGAATCCAGCCAGAGTTTAGCGGCACCAGCCCGCTCGAGGGTTTCAAAGCTGACACAAGGACCACGGGTCATGCCATCGCTAGTAAGAACAGTAATGGCACCGCCACCAGAGTTGATAGCCTTGCATCCACGGCTCGTACTAGCAACTAACACACCTTCGGTCGTAGCCATGGGAATAAAATAGCTCTGTCCATCAATAACGAGAGGACCAGCAACACCTACAGGGAGGGGCAAATAACCAATAACGTTTTCGCAGCAGGCTCCAAACACTCGCTCCCAGTTGTAGTGCTCGTAAGGCAGTAAAGACGAATCTAATCCGTTGGTGAGCCCCGAGGTAGCCTTGGTGCGGGAAATGATAGTCCGCCGGATCTTGACGGCACGGGTGAAGTCCCTCAACGTCTTTTCAAGTGCATAACCTGGGATCTTGCCGCGCATGGACATGGTGACAACTTCTTCATCATTGAGCTCGTGGGTTCGTTTCTCGGCAATAAGTTTCTCCAGTTCTTCAATTGATCGATGCTCTGACTGGGACTGGGACCTTGCAGGCTTGACCTTGCGCATCTGGAGGCCATCACCTTCGTCATCGGTCAAGGCAGGGGTCGCGGGTTCGGTACGCATGGGTGTGGGGGGCACATATTCTCCGAGGGGCAGAGTGGCAGACTCCGTGTCATTAAATCGCTGAGCTCGGGCAAGTTCCTTGCGGTCAATACTGTGATCGGGCAAATTGGGATCCTTGATGCTCCATCTGGCCACGTTGAAGAGATATCCGTTGAGGCCGACACTCAGTGCTAAAGCAACCACGATCCACTTTGACAACACAGGGTCTTCAAGACTCTTCAGGAGACTACCAACCATGCGGCCTCCAACGCCATAGTCGCCAAACTGAACAGAAGAATCATTAGAGCCGAGGCCGCTCTCGCCAAACGACGACGACAGAGCATAGTGAACCGAAGGATACTCCAGCTCGTACTTGATCGGGGTCAGGATAGTAACGCGAGTCGGCGTATTACTAGCTTGTGCAGCACTCAAAATGGCGTCCAAACCATTCTTTGCAACCTTGTAGGGGTCAACTGGTAGAGTTGAAACAACTCCTCCGAGACCGCCAGCCCAAGATCGCAGGGTGGATAGCGAGGCTGAACTACGGAAAGGAATAGTGCAAATGTTGATGACGTTGATGAGAAAAAATCCCGAAACCATGAGCACCTTGAACTTGGGAACGGTGCTGCTCCTCATGCGGCCAAACAACGTGGTGTCTTTAGATCCAGAGCTATTGGACTGGGCCCAGTCGTCATTGCTCTTGGCCACGTTTTCGGCAATACGGCGGCTGACACCATCAGCTTCCAGGGCCATGCGCATATCGTAGTGTCGCTTGATGCGGTTGATTTCAAGTTTAATGCTGAGAATAGCGGTATAGAAAGTGAAAAGCAAGATGCAATCAAAGAACAAAATCCAGGCAGCCAGGAAGCAGAACTGTTGGAGACCGCCCTGAACTCCCGACGCTGCACCGATGGTGAGGATTGCTATTTCAATGGCATAGTCACGCAGAATCTCGTAGCCCTTGTCCTTGATGGCGGCCTGAATGGCATATGAAATGACATTTTGAGACTGAGTTTGTTCATCGGATTTCCTGCCAGGCTTGGCATCGCGAGCTTGGGTACGGCGATGCTCGACAGCATGACTCAAAACTGCTCTTGTGAGAACAATATTCTTCTCAAAGCCGATGGTCACAACCAAGAATGGCAATCCCTCAGACAAGAGAATGACACTAATAGGAACTCCGAGCTTCGTAGTGACAGCTAGGCCAAAGAGGAAGGCAAACACGGATGAGAAGAGAGTGCTCATGCCCAACCAAAAGTTAGAGCCCATCCGTCTCATGGAGAGGAAGAGGGACACAAAGGTTAGATGCATAGAGAGATATCCGAGGACCATGATGACAATATCAAGAGTCTCGGCGTTTTTGAGCAGATCGATGAATTCCACCCAAGCGTTGCTAAGCCACTGGACAATGGTATTGCGGGTGTTGACCTTGGCTGCCTTCATAATCCACATCTTCTTTTCGCGGCCATGATGGGTAACAATTTCTTCTGCTTGCTCATCGGGGATTTCCTTTGCGGCTGAAACAAACTCAGGCGCCTGTTTCTTGGGAACAGAGTAGGCGAGGATGCTGTCCAAGGTGTAAGTGTTGAAGGAGTTCTCGGTAACAGGGAGAGGTGTAATCGAGAGGTTCTGAGGCGTGGGAACGACATGGGATCGAGGAGCGGAGCTGGAGGAATCAGTCGAGGAGGTATCAGGGAAGACGAAGGTGAGGAGTGCCAAATGGTTCGCGTCAGCCACAGAGGCAACGTCTGGTTCGATCCCCTGCCATTTCCACTGGGTGTCGGGGCCAGCGATGAGGTCCCTACTGCCTTCAACCAGAGATGACCAGTCGGCTTTGCCCAGACTCACGGGGCCCTCAAAGAGACTGTCTTGGATCAAACCGACGTAGGACGTGCTGGCTAGGACGGCAACAATGACGACGGTATGGATGGGATGGGAACATGCGACTCTGGACAGAAGCTGCAGCAGGGGCGCAAGCTTCTTGCCAATACGGGAGGGGGCAGCTGAGCTCTGAGAGCGGTCAGGCTCCCCTCGAAATCGGGTCGGCAGAAAAGAGGAAGATATCATGTCGACGCGATCGGAGAAGGTGACTCGGCGGTTCGGTTTACGACATTTGTTCTTGGGTGAATTCTCGGCAACAGCTCGGTCTACACAGAGAGCGGGTTTTCTGTAAGCAGATGAAAACGACGTTGACGACGGAGAGTCTCGTTGGTCCAGCAGGTGCTGACCCTGCGTCATCCTGCGAATAACAAGAGTCGAAGTGGCCATGATGCACCAGCGAGGGACACGAGCATTTGAGCGAGAAGCTGCAACGGGCTGGGACTGGGAGCTTGCCGGGTATTCGCTCAACGGAGAAGATTTGACGAGTCCAAACGAACCCGAACAAGGAAACGCAATGCTATTTACTTACCTCGATTGAGGCAGGTCAGCCGTCGACGGCACGACAAGGATGGAGGAGGGCTGTTGCTGTCGGCTTGGATTGACTGATGGCGGATGATGTGGTGGCGGACCAAAAAAAACTATTGTGGTGGTAAAAGGAGGGAGCGCGGGGCCAATGCAGGTGCGCGAAGTACGGGAGATAGCTGGACCCCGAATAGACAAGGCAGAGAACAATAGCAACGGACGAGCCAATTGGCAGCAGACCACAACACAGCAACGAAGGGTGTGGAAGAGGGGAATAGAGGGATCGACGGGAGATTGGAAGTGAAGGTGAAAACCAAGGAAATGAATATCGAATGGGCTGGACTGGACCGGGTCAGCAACTTTATGAGTCCCTGTCCGAACAACTCGTGCAAGCTCTAGATTGGTCAGGGGCGCCTGTTTGTAGAGCACGGAGCACGGAGTAGGCGGCTTACAGTGCAACTACGGAGCACGGAGTACCTGGGCACGCCACTGTAGATGGGTTAGGGCTATCTTGGACATTGAACATTGGGCTCGGCGAAGAAATAGTGCTGGAAAAAAAACCCGTAAAGTGACAACATCGGGATGAAACTGAACGTAGATGTACTTGGCACATCATTCCGGCGTTGGCTTCAACTCGCTTAGAACACAACGCAACAGACCAAGTGAACGATCCAGTGGCCATGATTCCAAAATGCCCACCGAGTATTTATGGAGTGCTGCGTGGCTGGCGCAGGACTTGGCATCGATTGATCACAATCATGTCATGCGACATGGACTTGACCCTTTTGAACCTGCAGCAGCATGCAGCCTGAGCCAAATCCACCCAAGACCAGACAGACGACTTCCCCTTATCGGGTCGCGGACACGCCTGGTGCCGAAATTGCTAATATGCGGCAGAAGAGGGAAAAAATCCTCACACATTGAGTTAGTTGGGCAGCTCGATGCGATTTTTGCCGCAAATTGGCCGACAATCACTCCCAGATGTAGCAGGCGGTCAACGCTTGCCAGCTTACCAAGGCTCGTTAGTTTGCCCCCGTACGTTTGGATTGCCCACTGTTCGCTTGAAATTGCCCTTCACCCTCCACCCATGTCATGCCAGGCCTCTCGACCCAGTTTGTTCATCATCTCGTGAGCCCGACGTATGTGCGTACTGCGTATAACTACTTATTGCAGTAACTATAGCACTGCGTACTCCACAGTCAAACGTGTTACTGACAGTTCAACCACAGGCGAAACAAAGGGCGTCCACACCCACCCCATTGCTCAGCCACGAGGCTCTTCCACCATCGAGGTTGTGGGCGCATAGATGGCCCTGGATGGCGTCGAGGCTTCCATTACATCCTACGAGTATTGCAGAGTAATACGCAGTTCAATTCTGTCTCGATGCTTCCCCCCACCTCGCTTTTGATGTTGGCCTGCTCCATCCCTAAAGCATCCACTTTGGAAATGTTATCCAATCCATCGCCATCGAACAGCTGTTGGCAGAATGCTGGCAGAAATACCAGTTGGTACAGAGGAAATTGACGCATTGCGGGTGGCAGAAGTCACTGTTACCGCTTTGTCAATGGCCATGGCTGAAGCGGGTCTGTCAGCAGCTCTTCATCAACCCATCACAGTCGGCCATGCCATATTGAGCAATACTGAGCCTGGTAACAAGCATAATGGGAAGCCATGTGTTTTTTCTTTTGTTAGCAATGGCCAATGCGTTCATCGCTTGTACAATGTGGCCATTTTTGCAACATCCAACGCCCACGTTTATTCACCCCACCTCAGACAACTCGGAACGGTTCAGAGGTGCATAGAACTCAACTATGGAGTACGGAGTTTTCCGCATTCAATCAGGTGGCCCAATGTGATTGATCCAGAGGATGGGGAACCGGGCAGTACCTGGGTGCTTATTGCTCTTCTACATTGACAGTGTCTGAGCTACGAGCGTAGCCAGCCAGCGACCCATGTTTCCTCTATCCTGCTCTCTGAATCGGAAAGTCCATGGACCCAATCTCGACGAGGCAGCAGATAACGTTTGGACATAGGGCTCCGAACCTCGCACTGAGATATGCAACATAGTGCCACCGCGTGGCCTTGTGTGGCGCAGCTCTTTAATAGTGCCCATTGTCATCTGTCTAAACTAATACTAGCATTGCTGGGCTGTCATCTTCGAATACTGAGACAGTCTACTCCGTACCCTTAGTAAACCGGGTCGGATTGGCAGAACGCTTACGGAGTAGTCTATGCGACTTATACAGGTCATGCACACGAGGCTTAAAACGTTCCCCACCCACGTCGTTGCTTCAGCCAAAAACATCTTACCCAGGATTCTCCATTCGCAGAGTTTGTATGAAGGCGCAACATCAAGCTATGTGAGATCCCCGACGGAAACCGCTTTCTCCTTTGCCTTTGGAACCCATCATACCATTTCGTCTCGAAGTTTTTCCTTGCTTAGCATTTCGTAACGCCCTTCCTCTAGCAACTTTGTCGTGGTGATGCGGGTCGGGTAATTCCGCAGGGCCATATTTGTGAAGTGTGTTCCGTAGTGAATACCATCAGCTGGCTCCTGGGAACCATTGAATCCAGGCAGTGGTTTGACCATGGCCCGAAAGTTCGGCTCGTGGAAATAGGCAAACGCAAAGCGCTCTCGAACATTCAGACCGACCTTGTGAGGTGTGGACTGGAGAAAGCTGTTGGTCATGTACTGCATCATGTCCCCTATACATGCCCACGGTTAGTCGAGAGCCACGAGGGGAGAGATCGTGTCGAAATCACGAGCATGACTTACCAGGGAATGCAGTGAATACGCCCGGAGTCGGCGGCACATACAACCAACCTTCCTCATCTTCCTTCATCCCAGCTACACTTTGCTTCCAGTTGGCAAACGATTCGCCTTGCTGGGGAGGTCGCACAAAAAGACCTGGTGAGATGGTAGTTAGCGGGGCCTCTTTCTTCATCAGACTCGGAGAAGCCGTATCCATACCCCCGACCTCGTCTTGAGCTGCTATTACTAGCAAACCATAGTCTGTATGAGATCCAATGCCACGACCAGCCTTGCCTTTCCCATTGGTTCGGTGTCTCGCAGGGAACCTGATGCCGAGAAAATGAGAGCTTTAGTATCATCACACCTGTTGCGAATGCAGTTCAAACCATGTCTACTAACGTACCTGAGAACTCGCATGTGGTGCCACCCGTCATCGGTGTACTTGGTCAAGGATCCCTGCGGCACATCAAGCCCCAGCTCGATTAGCTGGAGGACCTTGTCGCCACTGGACCCCATGTCTGCCATGTAGTTGAGCATGGGGCTCTTCATACGCTTGTCTAACCAGGGACACGGGCCATGGCATGGCCACTTCTCCAAAACTCTGGGGTCCCCTGGGTGTAGGTCTTTTGTTACGGTGAAAATCTCCGAATAGTCGGCAATGCCCGCAGTAATTTCTTCTCCAGAGGCAACATAGCCCGCATAACTACATTCGTTCACGCAGGCTTGCTTCTGCAGCGGCGTTGCCTTGAAAAAGTCTCTACTGGCGGCATTGGCTTGGGCATATATTTGTTGCTGTGACGGCGACATGGCAATTTGCAGAATGCCATGGCGTCTCCAGGCTCGCACCATGGCCTTGGCCATGGCCCTGTCAGAAAGTGACCCCGACAGTCTTTCAGGCAGGACAAATGTTTCCAGCTGCGCTACGGCGGCTGAGAAACCTGGCGGCATGGTTGTTTTGTGGGTAGGTTGAATAGAGTTCCTGGCCATCGGCAGCAGGGACCGCACCGTTCTTGGAAAGAATGGAGTGCTTGTACGCACAGCATCGACTGTAAGTGAAGCCATGTTAAAGAGGTACAATCGTTTTTTAATGCTAATAAGATCGAAGTCGGGAACTATGCAAGTGGTTTTTATCCATATCCGTGAGTCGTCGGAGATCGGGGGGCATGTCGAGTATAAAATAGTCCACGGGTGACGGGCGAAAAGAAAATGTAACAGCATACTCTATCAGACTTTTCCAAACTCGTCGCCTTTAGTATCGGCGGATTCCTCCGGTGGCGCCTCGAACAGAAAACACTGCATACCTTATTTCTCTCGGGTAACATGAGTGGCCGACGTCTTCGGATATGATTTGAGGTTGCTCTGCCATCACCTCTAGACATCTCGAATGGATCTAAGAAGTACGGCATGTGGGGCTAGGCTTGCAATGCGTCTAATCGGCTATTGTCTCTCAACTAAACTGCTTGAGGCAAGCTGTAGTGCGACCAAGGGCACGAAACGGTGCCTGTAGTCCTTGTAGTGCTCAGAAACAAGGTTACTTCCGTGCGAACTGGATCATCCGGTGGCCATAACCGGCCGAGAAAGGAACGTGAAAGAAACATATCGAATGCTCTCTAGGGTTTGTGATTTTGACAGGCTCTTCGTTGACGTTGCAATAGCACGTAATTGCGTACCTAAAGGCATTACAGTCCCGCACGGTGGTATAACATCATGAAGTGGCAAGAGGTACCCAAGATCAAGCTATCGATGGATTCCGAAAAGGCTCTTTCGTCGCGTGTTACTCCTCGTTGGCTCGGAGCTGTCATTTGACTAGCTCGGGGCATCGCCCAACGACATGATAAGACGCAGAGACTTGAAACCTCACTGTCTCTAAGATTCTCTCCGTCGTCAAAAGGCCCGAGGAAGGCTAGAACACCGAAGCCGGGCCGCTGCAGCACGCAATTCGACTTAAAACTCCGATCTCATGGGAAAACTGAGATTTCTATTACGCACTAACGAAACTTACAAACGGTAAGGATCTCGTGTCATATAAAGCGGACTAATGGCGTACAGTCTAGAATTACGTCTCATGGTCCTTACAAACGTTGTCATGTTCCACTGATACTCAGCCATGGAGCGAAAAGGCAAAAAATATTGCCCAGTTGAGCTGTCCCCGCGTCCGTCAATTGGAGTACCGAGAATTTTCGCATCCATTGAAAGAGACCTTGACGACCCTATCAGCGCCTTAGGAGACAGGCGTGTCGAGGCGATTATGCTGGCAAGGGCAGGTAGTGATGCAGTTGCCAATGTCGTGGGACGTGATAATTCTGTCGAAAGGAGGGGCTAGAGTAGCTTTGATTGGGCCCTAGCTATTTATTTCTGCAGGGCATCGACAGATCGACGTGGAAGTTATCCAATGATTTCGAGCAAGCCGCAAGTTCGTCCAGCTCTTTGCAAACCTGTACAGTCTTTGCTGACACACGGAGTCTTGGTCACCCCTGGGGCATTGACCCTCTCGCCCCGGCAGTGTACAATCGTGATGGCAATGAAGGAGGACCAGATGTGATACGAAGCTGCGGACCCCAGATGAGCAGGCCTTCGACGGTGTTGATGCGCTGTCGATATCTGGCAGCCGGTCAAGATGAAGTTTCACTTTCCGCGCCAAGGATCTTCTCGCCCACATACCGGACCGATGTTCGGAATGAATAATATTCGGGACTTTTAACCCCTCATAGATATAACGTCCGAGGTCTACACCTCGTAATGCATGCAATGATACAGCACCAAGGGCGTACAAAGCCATCAGGGTCATGCGGCCCGAAGAGATGCCCACGTGCCACGTACCAAGGCGCTCTGGGATGCTGCATCTTCGCAGAATCAGGGTCCTCCTCTTGGACGGCGCAAGCCAAAGTTGGCCAAACTGGCTCTTCACTCGCCATGATACATGCTCAACACCGGTTTTGACGTCATTATTTACCTTGTTATATCCCTTCATCAACGTCGGCACTTATGACTTGTCGTAGGGAACTCTCCATCCAGCACTAGCTACTCTGGTAACGACACATTGGTGGTTATCTCGCCACCGGCATAATACCTACATCGCACACGCGGAAAGCAAGGCGAATGGTTGTGCCCCGTGGCCCACAAGATTGGCAGTGCATTCTGACGATCTCGTTAACCGTCGAAGAGTTAGACGATCTTGACTTCTGAGGGCCATCCGAATCTTAGAAGGTTCTAGAGAAGAAGGAAACCAGCCTGTGGTTGCACACAGAATCTCAAGCAACGAGGGCGTTCGGTAGGAGCGCGGTAATACAATTGATAGGCATAACAAACGAAGTATACAGCTCGTCTATCGCATGTGATAGAAGCATATTATGCCAAAATTTCGTGCTACGTCTCCGAATTGATCATTTGGGCCATCCAGGCAGCTATCAGGCGGATTTGGCCTCCTCATCTAAAACTTTCTTGATGCAGAAGCTGGTGGATAAGACCAAGCATCTAATGATTCTTTTTTGCTAACTGTTATCAACTCGTCATATACTATGCGATTCGGACCTACCAAATCTGACAATGTCTTCATCCCGCAGCCAGCCAAAGCCGTCTCTTTTCAATAGGTCTCGTACGGCAGTCTCCTTCGATCGGCAGCTTCAGTTTATCGTGCCTGCAATCCAAAAGCAGCTTCTATCGATCGCGTTGATCCAAGCTTTACATTCGATCCGGCAGCGATTCGCTGGGTCCTACGGACTTGCTGTTGCAGCTTGTATCCCAACAGAAGCCAGCTACGCTGGATCTTGTGGCAGCATTGTGGTTAGTTTCGAGCTTTTATTGATAGTGGCAGGCTAAAAGACTGTATAGTATACACGAGCACCAGGATTCTTCCGGCCTGCTCGAAGCTTCAAATTCTATAGCTGCCACAGCTAAGCCTTGGTTTTTCGTTCAATCCGGCCGAATCTATTGATAACTACATATGCTTCAGCAGCTTTCATCGGGCGGGTTGCTGCAGAACTCCTTGTCTAGTTATACCCCAAGGTTTGCTGGCGACACATCAATCTTATCTGACGGGTAGTCGGGAAAGCAGGCATTCCGGCATCTCTAAAAGCTTTCCCTGGTTTGCCCTCGATACCATGAATATACACAGCGGCTCCAAGTCCGGTATCAGAGTCAGCAACAATTCTGCCAGCAGCTTCAAGAGCAGGTTTCAGTCCCGCGTGGAATCGAGGCTTCATACAAGATAGTGGCCTGAGAGCTAAAGAAAGATGGTGACAGACATGGCAACAAGCGCGCGAGCACCGAGTTTGGCCACAGGAAGCTTGTCAAATCCAGTGGCCTCAACTGAGCCTGGCTTCAAGTTGCCAAATTGACCGCCTGGCCCTTAGTGTAAGCTTCCAACCTAGCCTCCCAAAGCCGGTGCCTGCTGCACTGGATTTTGTTGCGTTCCGTAATTAGACAGGTGGCCACATGTATAGGATGTGTGTTGAGGCCTGAGTTTTCCCCTATTCAAGGAGCTTTCATGATATGATTACTACCAGAGATGCACACACTAATACAGAAACGGGCCTTTGCATTTACATTACGGTATAGGGAAAACCCCAATAATATACACTTGAAAGGGGAGAAAACCTGTACCAAGGCGTCGTAGGAAATCCGCCACTCACCACTTCCAGCACAAGGTGTAGCCACCGCCTTAGCTTCCGGCGAGAATCGCACCCCACGATAATGTGTATCAATGGTGTGTCTAAGAGCACATTATAGAGTGGTACTTGGGCGGCGGTGGTATATTGTGACAGCCTGGGCCGACCGACTTGGGTTGTTCATCCTTGCAGTACCGGTTCCTATGTGATATTAATAACATTTGTACATACTGAGCGTGAAGTAAGGGACCTACCGATATAGCCTGCATTTTCTAGGGGGATGCGATGAAACCCGAATTGACTTGATTTGGCTGTTGTGTATTATCATTAGCAAAAAAAAAAAAGGTAAATTACTTACTTTGCAAGGGTTTTTCAAGGCTTACATATCTGCATTTATAGGATAACACTTCTGAAGACTAGTAACCGTGAAAATTGGGATATGACAGTTGAACAATTGAAAGAGCTCGGCCTGCGTTATGTGAGACCAATGCGACCGTTGAGAGGGGTAAGATGTCTTACTGCTGGCGGTTGGGGGAATTGAGCGTCGTCGTATTGAATGCCGTCGTACTCGGTGCCGTCGTATTGAGTGTTGTCGTATGGAACGACGGCGCCTAAAGCGGCAGTGGCAAGAAGAAGCAAGTTTGCGACGAGCATTATTTTAACTAGATATCTCAAGATTTGTAAGGTAGCGTGATAGACTAGAACTAGTAGTGTAAGCTGTATGGAATCTTGGGCAATAATAGTAGGAGATTTGGCGAATATTTATACTCGATGTCTTTTGTCCGAATCGGATGAGGCGCCCTCGCCGCTTTTCGTTGCTCTCACTGACAACTTTCCGCATGCATCCCATCGGATATACATGGAATATTTTACTATCTTGTACGCTTGACTTTAATCTCCGTCTGATTGAATACTACTTTCCTTAAAATTACTTCTGATTTAGGTTTCATGCTTCTTGAGGTAGGGTATGAAAGCTAAACGCGGGACGTGGCAAGGAGCGGGACGTTCGGAAACTTGACGTCATCCCTCATTTACATGTAAGATTCGGGGATTAGGTTGGGGTAATAAGTTCTGTATTACTCTTACTTTAATATAGACTTGCTATTGGTGATGATTGCTAATCATAACTTGTTTACTTGACTTTGTGTGACATGCGCATGTTTGCAAGGTTGAGTTCCAGAACGCAACCATATAGGCCAGAGTGTGTCGTACGTGAGGCTTTGGAAGATCTATTCGCTTCTCGAATCTATTGAAACAGCCGGTAAAAGAGCACTCGCCGTTGTAATACCAGAGGCAGCAAGAAGATGTGACTGATTCAAAAGATACAGGCACTACAATCCT